CCTCTTCGCCCTCAACCATCGGGCTCCTCATTTTACCCACCTCGGAAGGCGGGAAGGCGGAGCAGACCTTGAGCCGGCGAGAATCGAACTGCTGGCAGACGGCAGAGCTAGGCCTGCAAAACTGCATTCTGTGCCACCTCGGTAGCAACCTCTCCTTAATAAAAAGGTTTAAAAAGGCCATTAGCAGGAGATGCGATTGCCGGGTAGGAAAAAAGGTTACTGCCGGCTCAGGAATTCTAGGAATTGAAGTCCGCAAGTTGCCGCGGTTGACCGCTCCTGTTCTTAACATCGCCTGTTTGTGATCTGCTTTTGTGCATCTGCCGCCCCAGAGACCTTATCCCAAAGGTCTGATCTTATCCAATCTCCCAGGACACACACGCAGGATCACCCCGCGGTGATGAGCTATCCATTGTCAACTCAAAGGGGAAATGGAGGTGCTATCTTCTTCTTCAGGAGGAAGAAGAGAAGAAAAGGGCCACCCTGGGGAAAAATAGCTCAATGGCAATAAAACACCTGCGAGGTTAAACAAATCCTACTTAAAGGACTAAGAGAGGTTTCCGCAAACTAACATTAGGATGCAAGGATGTAGCTTAAGAATTATTATTATTTTTTAAATGACTATTTGGCCTTAATTAAAGGCCAGCTGGTGGCCAACCCACACACGAAGTTTAAATAGAATTTTTCCCACTTTAGGGTTTAGACCAGGGGGCTCCAAGCTTGACAGCTTTCAGACTTGTGGACTTCAACTCCCAGAATTCCTCCTCCAGTCAGGTTAGCTCAGGGATTCTGGGTGTTGGAGCCCAACAAGTCTTTAAAGCTGTCAAGTGTGAAGGCCCTTGGTTTAGACTTCCTTGCCAGCAGGGGAGAACATCTGTAGATGAACCCGTGTACCCTCCACCAAAAGGAAATATTCACAAGTGGCGAGAGCAATTTTCTTCCTGTGACCCCAAACATCTGAGGTCACGTACAAAAGCAATTCTCTGAAAATCAGAGTTTCCCTCCCTTCTACAGCAGGACTAACCCTGGCAATTCTCCTTTTAAGTGCTCATTAGCCAGCAGTGAAATTGACCAGGACATTGACTTAAAAGTCTGGTTAATTTTACTCCAGGGCAAACATTTGTAAAGTCCTCTTTCCTTCCCCCCCCCCCCCAAAAAAAAAAAACCGGGAGCACTTTGGTTCAAAACTGAGAGCCACTTAGGTAAGTCAGTAGCGGCCTTCCCCCCCACGATGGAGACATATTATTCTCTTTTTCCCTCGTTCTGTTTCTTCCCACAAACACAGTGATTTGGGGTGGGTGGGGAGCCACTTTATTTTCGATAACAGAAGTCCTTTCCTCGCTGAGGTCTGCTCTAAGCAAAAGACAAGCCACGATACGTTTTTGGATCGGCGAGGCACAATTTTATACCCTCTATTCGTTAAAAGGCTACACCTGTAGCTACATGGATAAAGACCCTTTTGGGTCGTTCACCTCATCAAAAGACTAAACAAGCTTCCTTTTCATAGCCTATCATGCCACACAAAAACAAAACAAAAAAAAAACCCCAACAACCCTAAAAATATTAGCGGGCCACTCAATCTTTGGAAAACTATTGCCTGGAATTGGAGAGAGAGAAAGAGAGAGAGTGTAGATCAGTAGTACTTATGAGTATTTGATCTTCCAGCTCTTTTTGTAAGGAAGATGACCAATGCTTGGATCTTCCCCAACTTTTCTGGTATGATTTTTTCCCCCCCACTTAACGTCATTTTCACTGTTATACAACGCTGAGCAAGCAGCAGCAGCAGCAGCAGAGAGATTTGGTTGAATAAAAGACTTGCCCAAAGCACTGCGGCCATTTCAGCATCGCTGTTTGAATCGAAGGTGGAAATTAAACCCATTTTTCTTCTTCTTTTTTTTCCCTAACGAGAAAGAGTCGTCTTTTGATACAGACAGGAATGCAATTGTTTTTGTTCTGAATTATTAAGTCTTATCTTTGGTTGGGTGGTGAAACGAAAGGAGAAGCAACCCCAGCAGCGGAGGGCTTAGGATCTGGAACGTAACGTTTGCGAAAGAGGATTGCGAGCTGAAGGCCAGAGAATAAGACAAGCGAGGGCCCGTAGCTGCAGACTAAGCCGGCAAACGGGACCCGTCGAATCAAGCTTTAGAGGTTGAAGTTCAATGCCGTCCTGAAGAATCTGAAATGTGGAATATGCTTCTTCTTCTCGTGAAGTTTTGAGGTAGGGAATATGAGGATTGCATAAGAGGAGAAATGTGCAACTATATTATATCTGACGAGAGAGGAACAGGAAATGCAACCGAGGTATTTAAAAAATACTGAAAACCATCAAGGAGATGCCCGGGCACCTTCCAGTGCAAGGCACGTGCTGAAAAAATAAAAACCAGAAAGGCAACGTCTTACAACAAAGACCTGGGAAGCGGGGCCTCTCGAACTCAGGGCCGCATGCGATTGCTGAGGTAAGTCTTATACAAAGACGTGAGGCGGATCGTGGAGAACAACGCTCCGAGAAAGGCAGCCTAACGGGAAAGGGATCTCGCTTAGGAAGCAGCAAAGAACCGAAGCCGGTGGAGCTTTTCAAAGCAATGTGGAATTACCAGGAAGAAGGCAACAATTTTATTTTATTTTATTTTATTTTATTTTATTTTATTTTAAAAAAAGGAAGCCACCTGCGTTGGACAGGTGTTGAGAAAGAGCAGCAAACGCAATCGGAGGCATTGCGGCAGAGATCGGCTTAACACACCTGGGCAGGGACGGGAGCCACGGCAGGCCCCGTGCGTATGAGGTAAGAAGGAAGGGGCCCCTGTGGGGATACCCCAAAATGCGTGGAGGTGGACCCACCCCAAAGGGGGCCTCGAGAGGATACGAGCAGAGAGCCGGGATCGATGAGGTATTCGCTGTAAGAAGACGGAATAAAAGACAGTTCGCGCAGGAGACTACGGGGACGTTAAAGACAGAGGGGGGCCAACCATGTAACTTGCACGAAAGCCCCTAGCCGGAGAGGGGAGAGTTAAGGGTGAGAATGGGGACACCACACTTTTGAAAGTCACTGTAATTCCCCTGGATTTAATTCCACACACACACACACACACACACTCAGGTTAAATCAAATCACAGAGGGGGCTTCGCCTCTAAAAGCCTAGAAAATGGGGCAAATCCCGCCACCCCTTCCGAGGGACGTTCCACAGCCCTTGGGGAGGCTGAACGGCGGCCTTTGGCCTTCCAGACATGGCCGCTCTCTGAATTAAGAGGAACAGGACGCGCCAAAGCAGCCTGCAAGGGATAGCGGGCAGGGGTACCCAACCCCTGGGCTGTGGCTGCCGCTATCGGGACCGAGTGCCGTACGGAACCAGTCTGCCAACGCGGTGGGGATGGGAGCACAGGCACCCGCTACGGGAAGAGCCTCGGAGCCCTTCGCTCTCTCGCCGTTTCAACCATGTCCGAGTCTCCCATCCTTTGCCGCCGGGGATGGCCCCGCCCCCATCCCCGGCGCCAGCCCAGCGGGGACGGCTCGTGGTCAGCCAAGAGGGCAACTCGTGCGGCCTGGTTGGCTTCTCTTTTGCTTGCTCGACGGAAGCAAAGGCGGCAGGCCGCGATCCTCGCTTTTAACTCTGGCTCTGGGCCGAGTTCCCGCTAGCGAGGCCGGGCGGTCAATGCCGGGGGGGATTGCAGAAGGGAACCTCGGGGCTTAAGAGGCGGCGAACCAACCTTGCAGGAAGGAAAAAGTGGCATGACAATAAAAGGGCTGTTGGGTTACAGGGCCTGCTCACCCAGCCCAAAAGGTGGTTATGGGACCACCAGCCCCTCTCCCCAAAAAGCCAGGCTGCTGAAATCGCCCCAAAGCAAGGCTGACCGACCCCCTCCTCCCCTCTGCTGCACCCCCCATTCCTTCCCGCAAAGGTTGGCGTTCTCAGGTGGGGCTCAGCCGGCCCGGGGGCTGCTGGGGAAAAGGGGGATTTGCACCCTCGCTACCCAGAAAGGCACCCAGGGCTCGAAAGGAGCCTTTTCCTTGAGCCCGAAAGGCCAAACCACCATCGTCCCTCCATAAAGTTTGCTTGTTTCAGAACGGCCGAGATTGAGAGGAAAAAAAAAAAGAAACAGGAACCCAGGATGATGAGGGCCTCACTCCTGACCGGTAAGTCTTTGAGAGGAAGAGACCGTGGTGGGATGGCCGCTATTGCTACCATCGTTTGGGAAACCCTCTCAAAGGAAAAACAACAACAACAACAGACAATCACAGTGAGCCTGTCCTGTTGGGAGGACCCTTCCGAGCGACTCACGCGATCCGGGACGCAAAGAAACAAACCCTCCAAAGGGCTGAGCTAAATTGGCAGAAAGCTGGAGCTATTTCCCAGTCAGTTTGATTTCCCCACAGGGGAAAGATATGGAAGAAGAAGTTAGTAAGTAGTAGTAGTAGTAGTGAGGCGAAACCGGAGTGCGCCGATTTCGCGGTGTAAACAGTGCCTTCGCGGTGCCCGAGACCCTGAAAACGGCCTCTCGGGACACTCCCTGATTCGTAAGAGTGGAGAAATGGTCGAGAGCCGAGGTGATCCTGCAAGGAATCCACGGGGGTCAGGGACGTGGCTCCAAAGGGGAAGAGTCTCGGTTTGCAACGGGCAGGAAGTGCCGACGCAGAGGGAGGAAGAGGAGGGGAGGGGAGAGAAAAGGGGATTTCCTGCCGCACGGACCGAGGAAGACACCAAATCGAAGCGGGTGAGTTGGGCCCTCGCCTGGAACAGGCCCCGACGTCGTCTCCTCCGGAGATGCACGGAGCCAAGGCTGAGAAAACTCCCGCACGGTTCCTGATTTAACCAGCAACGTAGAAAATAAAACAAAATAAAAAGAGAAATACCTGAAATATTCTATTCACTGCAACCTACTCTTCCCTGTCCAGGACTGGGGCGTAACACAGTTCCAATCCTCCCTCGAGGGGTTTTTTTTCTTTTTCTTTCTTTCTTGTTCACTGGAAAGACAACGAAGCCAAGCGCGGTGGCGGCACCACTACCCCTCGCCCCCCCCTCCCGCCGTCCCAACGATCCACGTGCCCGGCGCTGCTCTGCTTTAACGTCCAGCGCTCTCTCTCTCTCTCTCCTCACTGGAATGCTTGGTGGAAACGTGGCAACGTCGTGGCGCCCAAGCCCGGCGAGAAGACCGAGGGCAAGGGATGCAGCGGGCCGAAGCCGAGCGAAGGCCCGCTTCCCGGGGGGGATTCTTGGGGCGGCAGAGTGGCAAGGAGAGGCTGGGCCTCCCCCTGGGAATAACCCATCACTAGCCCCCCCGAGGAGACGGGGGGGTTGCAGGGAGGGAGGTTCAAGGGCAGGAAGCCCAGGAGGTGGGAGAAGTCCATGTTAGCAGCACAGAGGGCTTCCGAGAGGAGCGCGGGGCTCTTGGAGAGCAGCGTCTCCTCCAGGCTGGCGGGCTGAGGCGGGGAGGAGGAGGAGGAGGAGGAGGAGGAAGGGTCGCCGGCGATCAGCGAAAGGCCTCCGGGCAGCTCGGCCAGGCAGCTGTCCATCTCCACTTTGGGGATTTTGTCGGGGAAGTATGAGGTAGATCCGAGCTGGTACTTTGGGGGAGGCTGGGATGGGGAGGCGGGTTCCAGAGGGTAGCTCATCCCCATGGGCAGAGGGTTGGGGACCAGCGAGGGGGGCATCCCTGAGCCGGGCATGGCTGGGACGTGCGCTCCGTACATGCCCATGGGGAGCATGCCGGGGAAGCTCTTGGCGCCCATCACCTCCCGGGAGGCCATGCAGAGGACGGGGCTGAGCTCCTCCTTCACGGCCACGCCCGAGCTGCAGCTGAGCAGGCCCAACATGTCCACGGGTTCCGCCTTGATCTTGAGCAGCTCCTGCGAGTGGCTCTTCTTCACGTGCCGGGTCAGGTGGTCCTTCCGGCCGAACCGCTGGGCGCAGTACTGGCACAGGAAGTCCTTCCGGCCCGTGTGCACCACCAGGTGGCGCCGCACGTCCTTGCGGGTGTAGAAGCGCCGGTCGCAGTGGTCGCAGGGGTGCTTCTTCTCCTTGGCGCTGCCCGAGGGCCGGCGGGAGTGGGCCTTGAGGTGCTCCAGCAGCGCCTGGGTGCTCTCGAAGGCTTGCAGGCAGACCTTGCAGCTGAGGTCGCCGCTGGCCGCCGCGTGCATGGCCAGGTGGCGCCGGTAGCCCAGCTTGGTGTTGTAGTTCTTGCCGCACTCGGGGCAGTGGAGGGCTTCCTTGTTGGGGTCGTGGGTTTGGAGGTGGTTGCGCAGGTGGTCCTTCCGGTGGAACATTTTCTCACAGTACATGCACTGGTGGGGCTTCTGGGCCGAGTGGGTGGCCAGGTGCCTTCCCGGAGGAGGGGAAACAAAAAGAAAGGAGAGAATTGTTGGCGGCTCAGGGGAGGCGGGGGAGGAGAAGAAGGGGAGGGGGGAGGAGGAAGAGGAGGGAGAAGAAGGAAGAGGAGGAGGGAGGAGGAAGAGGGAGGGGGAAGCAAAGGGAGGGGGAGGGGGAAGAGAAGGAGGGAGGGGAGAAGGAAGAGGAGAGAGGGGGAGAGAGGAGGAAGGGGAAGGAAGAAGAGGAGGGAGGAGGAAGCGGAGGGAGCGGAGGAGGAAGAGGAGGGAGGGGGAGAAAGATGAGGAGGGAGGAGGAAGAGAAGGGAGGGGGAGGAAGATGAGGAGGGAGGGGGAAGAGAAGGGAGGGGGAGAAGGAAGCGGAGGGAGGGGAGGAGGAAAAGAAGGGAGGGGAAGGGGGAAGAGGAGGAGAGAGGGGGAGAAGGAAGAGGAGGGAGGGTAGAAGGAAGAGGAGGGGGGAGGAGGAAGAGGAGAGAGAGGAGGAGGGAGGGGAAGGAAGATGAGGAGGGAGGAGGAAGAGGGAGGGGGAGGAGGAAGAGGAGAGAGGAGGAAGAGGAGGGAGGGGAAGGGGGGAGAGAGGAGAAAACAAGGAGGAAGAGGGAGGGGGAGAAGGAAGAGGAGGGAGGGGGAGAAGGAAGAGGAGGGAGGAGGAAGAGGAGGAGAAGGAGGGAGGGTAGAAGGAAGAGGAGGAGGGAGGGGAAGGGGGGAGAGAGGAGGAAAACAAGGAGGAAGAGGGAGGGGTCCTGTCTAAAACGGTTATGGGGCCCTGATGGCGAAGCTACGCCACACATGCGGGAAGTGGCACCCAGAGCCATTTCTCCGGGCACCACCAGCCATCACCCGTTGGCTCTTCTGGCCAGCTGGTCTTCACGTGCGCGCAGGTAGACCAGGTGGCCGGTGTGAGGATCTAAACCCGGCGCCTGCATCCAACCAGGTGGGGATTTGAACCCAGGGCCTGGCCCAGCCCACCCCCCACCCCCCCTTTCCCGTTGCCAGGCCCTTACCTGTAGAGCTTGTACTTGGAGGCGAAGGCCTTGCCGCAGTGCAGCTGAGGGCAGCAGTAGGGTCTGGCTTCGGGGCTGGCTCTCAGCTTCTCCACGCCGGGGAAGGCCACCCTGGACAGCTCGTACTGGCACTTCCCTGGGCCCTCGCTCTCCCGGGCTTTGGGCCGGGCCACTAGTTTCCAGCCCACCTCCTCCTCCTCCTCCTCTTCCTGCTTGGCATCTTGAATCCAATGGGGAACACTGGTGAAGAAGGCGGTCATGGCAGGCCTGACGTCGGAGGAGGGCCACGCCGGGGAGAAGGGCTGCCCGCGGGCATCTCACTGGTCCAGCCGCAGCCGCCAAGCCGTCTTTGCAGGAGAAAAAAAACCCTCAGTGGAGATCCTGGGGGAGGAGAAAAGACGGCGGGGGAAATGACCGACCATCCACACAGCGGCACCCATCCGATACAGGCTGTCCTCGACTTAGGACAATGGAGCCCCAACATTTCTGTTGCTAAGCGAGACGGCTGTTCAGGGAATGCTGGCCCATTTCACGACCGTTCTTGCCACAGTTGCTAAGGGAATCACTGCCATTATTAATTCAGTAACCCGGTTGTTCAGTGAATTCTAGTTCATGAGCCACGGTGGTGCAGTGGTTCGAATGTTGGGCTGTGGTCGTAAGCCGAGGACTTCCTGTCTTAGCTTCTTACAAGACATGCCCTCTTCTGTTGTCGGAATACGGTCGCATCGGCTCTACTTTTTTTTTTTAAAAAAAATTGATTTTCTACTAAATAAATTTCTTAGTGCTTAATAATCATCGTGTTGTCTGGGTATTTCATTTCCTGACATGTTCGTTAAGTGATTCACTGCAGCTGTCAAATTAGTCACACGGTCATTAAGCAAACCTGGCTTCCCCCATGGGATTTGCATGTCAGGAGGTCACAAAAGCGGATCGCCTGACCCCCGGGGGGGGGCCCCTGCAACTGTCGTAAAGGCGAGTCAGTTGCCAAGCATCCCAATATAAATCGCAGGACCGTTGGGATGCTGCAACGGTCGTAAAGTGTGAACAACGGTCAGAACTCCCTTTTTTTTTTCCCCCAGTGCCGTTGTAACTTCGAACGGCCGCGAAATGAGCTGTTTTTAAGTCAAGGACTGGCTGACTTTATGGAGGAGGAGGAGGAGGAGGTCTGGCTCAACTTTATTCTAATTCATAGTGAGGCACGCAGGTGGTACACACACACACACACACAGAAACCCGCAATGTTTGCGTACCTGCTTAGGAATTTGGTGAGCAAACATGGCAAATTTCCACTCAGTTTGCACCTGGTCCAAGTAAGTCAAACACGACAAAGTCATGTAACCTCAAAGAGGTTATGAGGCCAGTAATTTTCCTTAGAGCTTCTGCTATCGCCGATCGGAAGGGATAGCTTCCCTCATTTAAAAAGTGGTAAATGTATACCCAGGTAGTCCTCGACTTACGACCCTGGCTCATCATCATCATCATCTTTTAACGACCTCATAATCCCCTTGTGGGGTGGAATCTGGGCAACTGAATGGAGCTAGCAGCGGGTTTACTGGCCGGATGCCCCTCCTGTCGCCAATGTGGAGTTTTGTTCAGCAGATATATTCGAGAGAGAGAGAAATATCAGCCTCTACCTAGGATTGAACTCACAACCTCTGGATTGTGAGGCGAGAGCGCCACCTCTAGGCCGCTGCACCATTCCTGACTTACAACCCCCAACTGACACCCAAAATTTCTGTTGCTAAGCGAGACGTTTGTTAAGTGAGCTTTGCGAGCACTTGTGCGTCTGTAGCTACTTTTTCATCGTTAGACTACCTGTTGCACGCAGAAGATAACGGAAGCGCAGAAGTGTTTAGGAAAGGAAACAGGAACTTCAAGCCACATGGGGAAGAGAGAGAGAAAGTATTACTGTTTCCTACATTGCTATTTTTTGTTTTGGAAAGGGGTAAAATGTATTCTGTTAGAATACTTTTAGCTCGGAGTTGAATGTTGGGGTCCTGGGTGCTCTCTGAGTGTTTTTCTTGCAGACATTTCATGACCCAACTAGGGAACATCATCAGTGCTAGAAGGGAGGGGGGATTGCAAATAGGAGAAGGAGGAAGAGGGGGGGAAAGGAAAGGAGGAAGGGGAGGAGGAAGGCAGGCGAGGAAAGGGAGGAGAGGAAGGAGGAAGGAAGAGGAGGAAATTGCCAGTGGGATCTTTGGTGCTCTCTGAGCTTGGTGGTTTTCTTGCAGATATTTCATGACCCAACTAAGCAACACCATCAGGGTTAGAAGAGATGGAGGTTTGTG